TTAAGAAGTGGAAGTTCCAGGCTTGCTTGCAAACATAAGCCTTGAGCCTCACAATTAGCCACACTCTTACATAGAGTACCATCTAACTTCTACTGCAGAACCAACACTCCAGATCTCTCATGTGTTAGAAACTAGCTGTGTCCACACAACCTTTGTGTTACCCTATGACTCAAGATCATCTTTACTATTAAGAAGTTCTAAAATGTTATAATGTTGAGGAAATGGGTTTTGGATTTTCAGGGCAGGTCATACACACAAAAAGATATGTGTGTATGCGATATTACCCAGGGTACAGTCTGGGCTGCTCAACAACTGTCTCCTCAAATCCCCAGTCCGGGGTGTTTTATATGCTGCTTCATTGTGAGAACAAGCTCTAATGGCCAGTTCACACACTGCCTCTACCACACAACGTCATCTCCAGCTGAATTACAGGAATATTGTGGCCAGTTCAGTGATACTTCCTTTGTAGAGGGGAGAGGTGATTTGAGAGCCTCTGTTTTTCATTCATATACACGCCTCTCCTCTGTGAAGGAACTGCACCACTGAAGCCACTAATAAACTGTTTGGGGAACTGGTTGTCTTTCCATTATATGTGTGTATAGCACCTAGCACACAAGAGTCCATGACTGGGGCTCCTATACAATAAAGCAATACAAAAAAATAATAAGTTATTTGACCATAAATGCGTACAGTAAAAAAACACACCTATACAATGGAAACATTTAACCTCTCTTTTATAGCATACAGAGCTGAAATAATAGCATGTGTCAAGTCATAAAAGGCTACAGTTTCAGATTATGCAAATAAACAGAGCTGTGCAAAACCTGATCCAGTCTGGTTGCCTGGGTTATGGACTGAACTCTTTATACAATTTTAGCTCAACTCCAAATTCTGCTTTGAATTTCAGATGCATGCAAACCTAAACCTAAAATACAAATTGGAAACACAACTTTGCTGACTATCTCCTTTTCATCTTCCACTTTCAACTGCTAAAATAATCCCACTGTGGCTCAACCCCCAGTTCGTACCTCAGGCCATTCTTTAGAAGAGGGCAGATAGGTCACATTCTGCAATTGTGTTATAGGCATGAACACTTGCACGTGTTATTGAGGTCCACCTGAAAAATTTAATGAGAGTTTCCTGACTTTTGCATTTTGACAGTCTTATTGGTACACTGGAGACACATCATCCTCACCTGCTGTTTCTTCACATGGATCACAAACAGTGCGTTCCCACCCTATAGCTTTAGAAGGGCAGTAGAATCTCTATTAGCTCTCAACTATTGTAGTAGACCTGACATTCCCTTTCATGTATCAAGCCATTCTTTGAAGTGGGCTCATTTACCCACATCAATCTCTGCCACTACCAGGGCCATCCTCATCCATACGCAGAATATGCAGCTGTGTGTGAGGTACCTGAAAATTTGGGGCACCATTGGTCTTAATGTCCTCCCACCTGCCTCTTCCTATACCTGTTCTTTGGCTTCTTCCTCTGGAGAGGATCTAGTTAACTTAAAAGTGAAAAAGCCTGCCAGACCTATTAGCACTGAACCTGTGAAAGGGCCATTCAAGTGGTAATGAAACCATTTAATGGGCATTTGCCAACCCCAGGTAAATATTTTATTAGCATGTGACTGAAGATTATAAAACCACATATATAAAAAATCATCTCCCCAAAACTCCAGGCTGACATTGGGGATAGGGGCACCTATTTAATAGTACTGTGTAGGGGCCCATAAATCCTTAGGATAACCTTGACCACTACCTCCTGACTTCCCTACCCCCATACCTACTCTCTACAAAGTTGCTAGTGACGAAAAAGGGATGAGGTATAAATTCTTAAACTCTTCCCAACCTTATAATGTAGCTAGTACCTGATGCTAATACTGAAGAAAAAATCATTACGTATCATCTTAAAATAAGTTCAGTGTTTCCCTCAATCTAAAAACAAATAGCGTAATTCTTCTCTGATTTACACCCAGGCTACGTCTAGACTGGCAATTTAATAGTACTGTGTAGGGGCCCATAAATCCTTAGGATAACCTTGACCACTACCTCCTGACTTCCCTACCCCCATACCTACTCTCTACAAAGTTGCTAGTGACGAAAAAGGGATGAGGTATAAATTCTTAAACTCTTCCCAACCTTATAATGTAGCTAGTACCTGATGCTAATACTGAAGAAAAAATCATTACGTATCATCTTAAAATAAGTTCAGTTTCCTTCAATCTAAAAACAAATAGCGTAATTCTTCTCTGATTTACACCCAGGCTACGTCTAGACTGGCATGATTTTCCGCAAATGCCTCGTATAAACTATTGCACTTTTTTGTAACAATGTAGTTACTCTTCCTTTACACTAGTGTAACTGCCAGGAGACTCAGGAGTTCGAAATGAAATGCTGACAAACTTCCTAACAATTGGGTGTTGCTGTAAAACATTTTAGAATATAATAGGCAAGCAGAATTCATTATTTGATAGCATGTATCTCTCAAACGTACATGGGAAAAGCTAGTATCTAAAAGACAATGTGCAGTTGGAGAACTGTGTGCTCCAACTGCCTGCAAGGAATATGTATTCTTTGCAAGATGTATACAAATAATATACATAAATGTTTAATATGTTGATCTAAGTCCAGATCGAGTTACAATCAATTTACTAACTTCTTTGTTGTTGGGTAAGGAATTGGAATCCACTCGCAAGGAAAGGAATTTAGGTATTCATGAAGCCCAGGGATGCTAGGATAGAGAATGAGACTGTGATTATTTATAAGGCTAAGTAGATAGCACATTTGTGAAAAGCACAGGAAGAGACAGTTTGAGTCACATGAAGTAAGGCAAAAGGACTGAATGGAAAGGGAGGAAAGCAGAGAAGAATATAATGCTGTAAGAAAGGGAAAGGTAAGGAGAAAGATAGCAACAAATAAAAGTCTGTGGAAACAAGCTGAAGTGTATATAGGACAGGAAGACAAAGTAGCCTACTGGAGCTATAAATGCTCCCTCACCCTTAATAATAATGAAATTGCAGCTTTTGCATCTATTTCGGGAAACTTCATTTCACCAATCCTGTGTGATATACACTAGCCTTATATGTAGTGTTTGCTACCTACCCAGGAAGGTTTTAATGATCCAAGGGGAGAGAGAACTGGAAAAGCTAAATGAACACAGAGTTTTGGGAAAAGGAATGGGATCTGGGCAGACAGTTTTAATAAATACCAGTGCTACATAGGAAAAGGGAGAACTAGGGAGTGAATGAGAGGCAAGGCAGCCAAACACAAGGCACAGAGATCTGCTGAATGGGACAATGTGGGAGATAGAACAAGGGTGGAAGTGGAGATGGGGCAGGGAATACTGTGAGAGCTGCACGTGCATGACAGGAAGACCATGTTTCTGGGGGAGGACACAAGGCTGAGGGGCATGAGCATGGGAGAAGGGTGTGGGGAGAGAAGCATGCGAATGGGGCAGTTGGAGGAGTGTGTAGGTCAGATGGAGGGGGGGGACATGAGCATGGGTGCAGATGGGAGCAGCTGGAAGGGTGTGTGAGGCAGGTGGGGGCAGAAGCATGAGCACAGGGGTGAGGGCAGTTGGAGATGTGGGGGACAGGTGGGAGGAGGGGAACGAACATGGAGGTGGGGGCAGCTGCCAGGGTGTGAAGGCAGGTGGGAGAGGGTGCTGAGCTCGGGGGCGGGATAGCTGGAGTGGAGGG